GCACCCTTTTCATCTCCCCACCACCTTGTGTACCTGGCCGAGAAACGCACGTCAGAATCAAGCACAACTGTTGCTGAGGAAGACATGAGGGAACTGATTCCTCCTTCCTGTTTCCAGATGCCACCATAGTATTTGGATGAGGTCTCCACTCCTGCTGGGATTCATGAACTTCTCAGACCAGTAACGGACTTGGCACATGCTTAATTTAATCACAAGGGCTGTTAGGCAGTGGCACGCATTTGCAATCTATCTTACCTTGTTCACAGCAGAGGTGGGACAACCTTCTCCTCTCTGCTTTACTTTTAACTTGGGGAAATTATAAAGAAGAACAATGAAGTAGATGTTTCAGCCTAAATCCCCTGTGGAAGCAGTGGGTTAGCTGCAGCCACTCCTCCAGTTTTCAAGCAAGATGAGCAGATGTTTTGGCCTTCACATGCTTGCAGATTCATAGCTTGTTCGTCCCGGGCTAAGGTGGCAGAGAGCTCCAGTTCTGTCTGGTTGGGAAGGAGCGTTCATTCTTCCCATCAATACCAAAAAGCAAGCTAAAACAGGAGCTGTAGGACATGTTGTGCCAGGTTAATTGGCACCACACAGTTGAGTGGTTCAACACTTGCTGAAAATCGTTCCTTTAGGTTATTTCCTTCGCTAGCAAATTCCTGGTTATACTATGTTTGGGCAATCTTGTTAATCTGGGCTGGTTTCAACTTGTAAATGACTGTGACTAGATTAGTACAGTCTCCACTGCACATTTAAAAGATATTAGTGGGAATGGGCTGGTGGCATCCCTGACAATCAGTTACTCAACTTTGTGCCCTGATGTAGATGCTGAAACTTTACCAGATTTTAACAGCTTGATTAGCAGTTTCCCATCTTGAATGTCTGCTCAGGGTGATCTCTACCAGCAAACTTCAGGAAAAACAGTCCAGCCATTTCTTAAGAGAGCACTGCAGAGCGAGCACTTCTTGTGGCAGCCAAAGTTACAAAACTGGGTTCCTTGGGAATGTCTCATGTGTGGTTTCCCTGGTGTTCTACCACTGAGCTTCTTCCTTCCCCTTAGCAGAGGCACTGACTTGGGCTTCCCCCTTCTATCAGTGCATCCGTTTTCTAAAAATGTGCAAGACCATAACAGGTCAGAGTCCCTCACTCCTCTTAACCGGCCAACAGACTACAAAGATGCTTGGGATGGTGGGACAGAAGAGGCTGACAAATGCCCAGCCACACGGTGTAATCACATCAGAGTATAATCACAGTTGTCAGAAAAAACAGGCTAAAGTAGACACACAAACTAAAAATCCACATCAACTTTATGGATCACGTCTGCAATGAAATCTGTGCAGGAACAGGAAAGTGGCACAGAGAGGCAGAACGCTTCTCTTGCCCCTTGCGCTTGCTCAGGTTTGGGCAAGACACAAGTTTTTTATTTTTTAATTATATTCATTTTGCACTTGGATACCTGCAAGAAAACCACAAGCAGAAACACTTTGAGGGTGCTACTGCATCTTTGGGAGGGTGGGGTGGAAAAAAGTGTTGTTTTTTCCTGAAATTGCAGCTCGTTTCTGCTGCAAACTACATGGTGAAGAAAACTCAAGACTGAAGTGGATGATGTCTGCCTCTTCTGGTGCCTAGACAAGGAGTGAAACACAGCCTGCTGGAATGGGAAGGGGCTGTGAACACCACCAGGTCAGCCAGGCAGGGGGATTGTACCGAAACTTGAGATGGCCAGATGCTGACAAGGATATTTGAATTAGGAGAGAAAAAGGGAACAAAGTAGAGAGGAAGGAGGGTTGACCGGGATCCATGGTGCAGAGATGAACCACAAGACTGTGAATGACACGAAGGGCCTGAGAAATGATAGTTAGAGGAGAGAGTGGAGAGCAGAAATAGATGAAAGGAATTAGGGGGAAAGCCTGACAGGGCATATTGCTGGGAATGAAATCCAAGATCCCCGGACTCAGCATTTTCCTGCTGCCAACAAACATCCACAAAAATGCTTCTGTAATGCTGGGGCTCCTGGGCGATGGTAACCAATTATTATAACTATTCTTTTATCTCTGCGGCTGAACTTTTGTTTGTTCCCTGGCCTGTCAGGTCGGGGCAGGAGGGCTGGAGGCTGTGCTGAAAGATGGCAATGAAGAACACAGCGCCGCACTGACAGGAAGTTTCAAAATTCAGGTTGCCCATGGGATCTGAACTTGCTCCCTTCCCATTTAGAGGTAAGTATCAAGATACAAATCTTCATTAGACACATCTTTTCCCCGCAGGATCGGCTTACACCCAAAGTAAGCCAAAATGCATTTCTCTGACAAGCAGATTTTCAGTACTTTGTCTCGTAATTCTCCACGTGGCTCCACGCCTCACTGGCTGCTCACTGATGAATTCTCGTTCTGAAAATAATGAATTAGCAACTCCTTCTATTTATGGTGTTCATCACTGGAATACACAAGTATGGACAGATCCACAAGTAACAGCTTTCAGTCACGCAGCCAATCTAAATTTTTCATTTATTACTTTGAAAAAAAAAAACCACCTTCATTTCCCAGGTCGCTTGTGTAAAATACATGCCATCATGAGCACAAATTTACAATCCAAAGATTTGAGAACAAGAACACTCAGAAGTCATTTATCTGGATTTCTATTTTTAAGAAGTCATAAGAGGAAACAGGATTCCAGGAAAAAAATATTTGGTACAAATAAAAATAGGGAGACCATCATTGCCTCATAGGACCTGGAGAACAAAAATACAAGACAGGCAAAGCAATATGAATGGAAAGAGAGGCTGAGAAAGATGAAGCTCTTAGCAAAAGCAGGGCTTGGACTAGAACTGTAGATCAGGGAGTCCCACTCCAGCATCTAATCCATTCATCCACTCTCATAGAGATCTTCCCTAACAGCTCTCACCAACAGATCTCTAGAGCTTTTAAAGGTTAACAGTAAGAAAAATGGAGACGTATGCCCTACACAGGGAGCTGTACAATCCCCAGTTTACAAAAGAGGAAAACTAAGGCATGAAGCAGCCTCATCTCTTCTCTCACCTAAGCAGAGGGCAGGGACTGAAGGCAGAGTTGTTCCTTCATTTCCTCACCAGAAAAGCAATCACCTCACATTTTGCTAAAATAGAATATTAAGTTTCCTTGGTAATTTTTGTTCTCACGCACTGCATTTCTATGGAAACAAACCTTCTTAAGGTAACAAAAAAAATGCTGACTGCTTTTAAAAACTCCAATTTACTTACCTGCCTTTTACTGCCATAACTGTTTCTATGGAAACTGGAACTGGCCATGAAGCAGTCCTACAACATGAATTCTCACTTGTCAGTTTTACATTAAAGTGCCACCTTCAAAGTCCTTTAATAAACCATTAATAATTGTGTTGCCTAATGAGTTTTCAAATTAAACAAAACAAGAAAGCGCGCTTTCACTGAATGTCACAATATTCTGTAGGTGTGGTCTACGTCTAAGAATTTTAACAGCAGGCATGATATGACTCTCTTGGTTAAGGGTATGATCTTTAAACAGAGGGACAGTTTATTAGCAGTAAAAGCCCTAGTGTGTGTAGTGAGACTTACCCATATTGGTATAAGTCACCTTTATGTATGTCTAGACTGCTGTCACAGAAGCACACTGTAGAGATATGAGGAAATGGGTAAATCAGCCTACAGTGGGCTCTGTGCTCCCACAGCTACTGGGGGACTTCTGTGCAGGCATATGCTTACAGTATTCCCTGTAGGTATGAGAGGGGGAATGCACTCAACCAGAGTGAGTGTTAGTCTGTGTTGGGTGGCTATCATGGAAAAAATAAAACATGCAAGCTTAAGGCACAACTATTCCGTATGGTTCTTCAGAACAGGAATCAGTGTAACTTAAATCTAGGCTCCTCCATTCATTTTACTTCAACCTTTCGCTCTTGTAAAAACTGTAGCCTCCCTTTACATTCATTCATATTTCCCTGAGTTAACTCAAGTGAGAAAAATCCCTTTTTCCTGTTCTTGGGGAGCAATTCCAACAGAATGCACCCTCAGTACAACAGTTCAGCATTGCCAGCAAGGACCAGGTTAAAAACTTCCAAGGACAGTTTTTTTCCTTATCCATCTTTCCCCAGATGAATTCTTCCTGCCTCATCTCTGATGCTTTGCAGTTCATCGGTGCTTTTAAATTGCAACAGGGTCAGAACAAAGAGGGAAGACACTTCGCATCTGCACCAACCTCCAATGCATAGAAAATAGTGGCATGGGGGTTTGGGCAGACTTTACACACAGAAACGTAACTAAACCACAGAAACTGCAACATCAAAGTTGGAGGCAACAGAACACATTAGATGCTGCATGTGTGATCATCCAAGCTGCAAAGGACAAAGATATAATCCTATTTTGGTATGAATTTATTTTAAAGAGACCCTAAAGAGCAATATGATCTCCAGACTATCTTTTCCTCCAAGATTCAGCTGTGCAGAGCTCCTTCCATAACTCATCCAGCCACACACTTGTCTGACACCCTCAGAGTCTTTCTCTCCTCTAACCTAAGAGAGGAGATCACCTTTCCCACTGAGCTAGCTGTGTTCTTTTAACCCTTTCCCAGCAAAATCCAATTCTGATGATACAGGACTTTGCAAGAAAATGGCTAAGTTTGTCTCTTAGATTAGAAGTCATGCTGTTCCATACGGTCCAAGATACTACATACTTTCCTTTACAATACCCTCAGATTCATGCCAAGTAGGTCACTTGTCCATAATCAAGCAGTAATACATGGTTAACTCCTGATACGAGTCTGAATTTAGGAGCTGATATTCCAAACTACTTCTCCCATAGACAGCCTTTGTTTTTAAGCATTACTTCAAACTTATCAGTAATCAGAACAGGAATCTGAGAAGCAAATCTGTGGCCAAGCAGACCATTTTATAGGCGTAAAGTTGCAATTTCCCTCAGTACTGCTTCACTCAGAATCTGGACTTCTTTCCCTGTTCTCTAGAGACATTACGGCGCACACAGATGAAGACTTCTACAATTCTTTCTTAATCCTCTTTTTTTATTTCCTTCTGCACAGGTACATCCTTTCAGCACATGTTCAGGCCCATATTAAGATCTGACTAGAAGGTATCGAACTCAAAACAGAGCAGCAATGCCAGGAGTCGGGCAGCCTGCAGGGAAACCAGCTATCGAGCCCTACAGCAAGTAGGGAATTTACAGCAAAAGAATGATTCATACACAGTTTTCCACTATGAACAAACACACCATCTCTTTAAGGCCAGAGTGTTCCACAGACCCCTGAATGCAAACGCCAAATATTTTGTCATGCTTTTCTCTTAGCCTATATCTCACTGCAGCCAGGGCTTGGAATGAGGCATAGAATATAGCAACAAACCAGAGACCTGGCACACACGGGGCCACTCGCTGGCTTTCCTCATGCATATGGTTTATTTTTCCCCGCTATGTCAATCCTTATAGGGCTTTACCACTACCTCTGCCTCCTGGGAGTCTGCTGTTTCAACTGCTACAGAGAAGGTGCAGAGGAAAGAGGAAGGATACATTCAGTTCTTTCTGCTCTTTTCAAGTTAAATGTCTCACCTTCACATCATTAATTAAAGAGATTAATTAAACAGACAAGCCCCTGCAGCAGCAAGACCTCTCTAAGGATAAATACTGAACAGCTCCGGGCTTTGAACTGGGGCACATAAAGAGTTCTGATTATTCCAGATCAAACGTCTTGCACGGTTACCTTCTTTAGGCCAGTGTTATTTCATCAATGTCTCGTTTTCCTCTGCAAGCACAGATATGGAGAGTATTTTTCCCCAAAGGTGACAAGGAATAGAAGACACAAAAGGCAACAGGGAGTACAAAAGATTAGAGTGGGTCGTCGGCTTTTGTATTTTCTTTTCCAATGCACCTAATTTACGGTTTACCATTTGTGATGTAGAAAGCAATTTAAAAATCAACAGCAAAACGGTGATTGATTTTGAGAATCCTGGTCTGAATAGAATCCATAACAGAACACAGCAGCACACACGGCAGCCAGGGGAAGCCAGAGATGCTTGACAAGCAGCAGGCAAGGCTGCAGGATGGGAAAGGGATGCAGGACCCCATTCCTGAATATTATTTTCAGAGAAAGGTGAGGACCACAAGCAAGGAAGCTGTGCACATTCAGGAATACATACGTACAGACATGGGTACACCAACACTGCCAGGAAGGACAGGCAAATCTTTTGATTGTTTGCTTGCATGTCCTTTCTCTACCTGTTATAAAGTATACATAAAAAGAAAGATCCACAGCTATCACCATATGGAAAGACCACAAGACCAGTCTTTAAGCCAGAAAAACAAGTCCTGATGTGACCACTGCTGTAAGCAACATCCTTTAGCAGTGACTTTTCTTTAGGGCTCACTGGATGTAGATGTGAGGACGGTCACGTCACATCTTACTGCAGGGAAAAAGCCCAGCCTCTTTTCCAGCTCCCCGCTGTATTAGGATGTCCAGAATCAGTTTGATACAACTTTCATGAGGAATCGCAAGGAAGTCAGCAAGAATATTAAAACAAGTGTTTGGACATCTTCTCTGGAGCTGGACAAAACAGCATTTGGAGAATCAGAACGCTCTCTTTTTCCCCCCATCTAGATCATACCAGGTAATAGCAGCTTTTCAGGGTCACTCAACCTCTCCTTCTTCCATCCTTTATCCTGAATGGACCAGAACAATTGTCTCTTTTTAAAATGCCACATAATATCCTTCCATAGTGCTGACAACATCACTGTTACTCTCCAGCAGTTCCAAGACACGGTGCATCACCACTTCAGCCAGAGAGGGGATGTAGCTTTGCCGAACACAGCTCAAGACATGAAGGAAATGGCAACCTTTTTCAGCATCTGCAGGGAAAAAAAAAAAAAGGACAATACAGCCAGACATGGAGGTAAGACTTCAGTCTAACTGCCTCTTTTTAACAACTGTAATCCAGATTAGCCCATGAAAAACCACAGCTGTCAGAGAGGAAGAATGCCTTAGGTACTGAAGCAGAGATGCATGTATTCAGAGGGAAGAGATCCACTCTTTGCCTACAGTTCTCCAATCATCAACTGTTCTCACTGACTTCTCTGGGAAGTTTCAGGGCTGTAACACTAGTAATGAGGGTGAAAGATAATCAGTCTTGCAAACTCCAGTATACAGGGCTCATTCAGTACAACCTGAGGATGAGATTAATAATTTAAGGGTACCTTCACTGTCCACCTATGAAAGCCATCCAGTTTCTGCAACTGCAGAAAAAAACCCAAACCAAAACAAACAAACAAACAAAAAAACCAAATGCTTTTGCTCATACCTAACTTCAAAAATGTCTAGAACAGCAAGAAGGTCCATGGCCAGGACCTGTAACTGCTTGCCCAATGCTGGCATCTTGTGGAAAAAACGTTACAGTGCAACTTCCAGAGATGGAAACCCAGCAGTGCAATCCCATTCCCGGCACTTCAGACTGATTGCTCAGAGAATTACGGGAGTAGAAAGTCACAGAACTTCAGTATGAAATTTTATCTCCTCTTAAGAGGAATGAACCCTGAAAATGTACAAGAGAACACAAATGTAAAAATAATGCCCTTTCCTAGAGGGCAAGCCAGAGCCAAAGGTCCTGAGTGGCCCCCGTATTGCATGCAGCTCCTGTGTGCCTGGTGGAGCCATCATTTGACCCTCTGCTGTCCCACTCAACATTTCCCTCAAAACACCCTGCAAACCCACTGATCATCAGAGCTGCAGGCTCCCTGGGTACCCAGCTCCACAACAGGCTTCTTTCTCTCCTCTATGGCTAACCATGGAAAACTAGCATAAACGAGACACATCAGCACAGAACTTCCCTCCTCCTCAGCATTCAGCTCACATGATGGAAGGTAAGTTTGATAAGGGTACTGAAAAATTTCCATGGGCCAGGGAGGTCCCTGTATATTTTTTTTTTTTTGCTGTCTTTGGCTTTATTTTTGCCAATCTTTGCTCTAGAATCTGCCCAGAACTGCCTTAGAAGCTGCTGAGAAAAGTCACTGGCAGATACAAGGCAACGCTGAGTGTTGGTAAATAAACAGTTCAGCCTGTTGGGCCGTGATTCAGGCAAAGATATTTTTTTAAGAAGCCAGTGATCCAGTGTGATGAAATGCCTTTGTGGCTAGGAGCCAAAAATGCATCCACCACCCTAGGACATATAAGTGCAGAGAAGACAACAATGCCTCTACCTGGTCATAGTCACTGTTCTTGCAAACAAAGCAAGAACTGCAGGGTAGCTGCATTGTGCATTAGTCATAGATTTGTCATAAGGTCAAAGCGCCCATCCCTGATCCACAGTAACTTAGCTTAAGTCTCAGTGAATTAGATTAGTGACTCAAGTGTTCCCCACCAGTACAATACATACTTTCCTCCTAGATGCTGGCAGAAAATGGCATTTTCGGGTAGCTGCAGATGTGTACAATCATTAAGTTATCAAAAAACACTCCTAGTCTACGACCCAATTTTGAGGGAATACACTCCTTGCAGTGGAGTGATGCTGTTCCTCTTTCACTGACATACGGGTTCTAGCTTTTGTCTGCCAGCTGGGGTAAGCTGGGCTGTGTGTGATTCACTGTCTTGCCTGACTACCAATGTCAGATAGAGTTATAGAAAAACTGCCATTTGCCCACTGTGGACACCTCACCTAGGGTCTATTTTCATATATTTAATTTAACTTCAAGAGGATCTGTTTTTTTCCTCTTTACTATTAGCCTCATCTAAGCCTAAAACCAGAGTAAATGTGTCAAAAAAAAAAAAAAAAGAGAAAAAAAACTGGACTAAGTCTACCATTTCACAGTTCAGTCTGGAGTCAAAATGCACTGTCATCCTTTTCTGGCTGTTTTAAGCCTCCGGAGAGACCCACAGTGGTCTTGCATGAGGGCGTTTAAGATCAGGCTGTTTAGAAATACAATTGGAGCCAAGGACTAGATTGTCATGTAGGCGTATTAAAGCTCAGGGTTTGTGGAGCTCTGACTAGGCACGCTAACAATTTTTATTTTGTACAATAGTTCCAGGCAGCTGGGCTGGGGCCTGAGAACGTGTCACAACTAAAGCAACGGGGTGAGGCATTGCCTTTAAAACTGGCAGAGAAATAACTCATTGGAGAGAAGAGTTTGGTTTATCATAAAACAGTCTTCTCTGTCACGGAAGATTAATATTACTCTTGAAGGAAAATGGGTAGGAATTTCTTGCAACAAATGAGCAAAAGCCCTTGAGGTATTACCAGTGTTCTTATTTTCTCACTAAAAAGCCTGCTCACTAGCCAAGGCCAAGTGGGTGGCTGAGATTGCCATCCCACCAGCAGAGGGGGGCCGACAGTTACATTGAGCTCCACACTCTTGCATCATTCAGTGACAATAAAATATCCGCGGTAACCTCTGAGTTTTGATTGAAGGTTCTTGGCTTTTCTTCTCAAAATCTTCTATTACCAGTGACTAGCATATTGAAACGGTCCTTCTGCAAACTAGCAGAGAAAGAGACACTGATCTGGAAATCGTCCTCTTTATAACAGGAAAACTAAGGAGGTGGAAAGCTTCAAGGAGAACAAGAGGCTCTGTAAAGCAGTTGCTATTTTTAACCTGCTCAGTATGGAAAACATGGCTTTGAGGACTCAGGACTCTTGGAAGTTTTTTCTGTGAGTGACCTATGAGTTTGTCAGCTGTTGACTCCTCCTGACTCTGAGAAAAACAATCTTCCAACCCCTCAGGGAGCACTGAGAGTACTTAACCAGTGTGATAACACACAAGAGGGGAGTTGAACAGCAGGCAGTCACTCAGTGCCTTGTGCCAACTCTATGTACGTTCTGGCCCTTATAGTGGCACAATTATAAAAAAACCCCAATGGCTTCCCAGGAGAACTAGCTGATGTATAAAATAGGCAGAGGAATGGTTTGTCTTTTACAGAGATGTTTGTATTTTTTAATTGGATAAAAGACAACAAAACAATGCAATGTGGTAACTTGTTGTACTGAAACAACCTCAGGCCAATGAGCCCACCTTCACCTACGTGCCCAGTAACATTTACTCCCTCCATCCCCCAAAGTTACAGAACTTTTACCTTCACCTACAAACGTTGCCTACAGTTGTACCACTGCTTAAGGTAGCCAGTTGAAAACTCAAAAATAATACCACTTCACTTAGCCTTTTTTTCATTGCAGGATAACTGCCATATACCAGGTCCTACAAGCACTATTGTAGTTATGACAGTATAAGGATATGAGCAATTTAAGATTATACGCCTTATGTTCTAGTCAGTCATTTATTTTACACTAAAGTGCATTCTACCCCACAAATAGCTGCACTCCAGCAGCAAGTGATCCCTGCTGACACATTCTGCCCAGTGAATTGAAAGAAACTGTCGCAATGTACCTGTGTAATTAGCAGACATTCAAGTCAAGCACAAGCTGTCACTATGGCAATAAGACACAATAGGTTTGAGGGACAAGGATAACTCAGAAGCCACACAAGGTACATGATCTGAAAGGAAGTGGATTTTGTTTGACTGAAATCCCTGCCTGCAAAGAACAACCACCTGAGCTCTACCTGAGCTTAAAATCTACACAAAACATCCTACTGACTTAAGGAAGTTTTATTGTTGACTTAATGGAGGTGGGGATTTCACCTTTCTGTACGGTCAGTTTTGTGTCAACTCCCTGGTAGAAACTGAACTAGCAAGATTTGCTAGTTATCCAGAGCTCAAAACAACAGCTGATGGGTGCTGACCTAACTTCATTACATTTGGTTCCTTCCAAAATCTAAGTATTTTCCAAAGATATAGATCTAAGATAATGGCTGCTTATTTCAACTTGGAGAAGTTTGCTTCCTGCGGGGCACACCTGCTCCTTCTCTCTCCATGCTCCCAGGAAGCTGCTCTTGCACTCCCACCATTAGCTACACTGATTAGCTCCGTGAGCGACTCCGCTCTGAGTTCATGGGGAAGGACAAGAAGCGTATCTAATGCAGCAGCAGGAGGAGATTTTGCCATCAATATCTCAGCACCAGCTCATGGGAGCCCTGATCACACTGCTACTTACGCCTGGGTTTTCGACAATCTTCTTTAATGGCATCAAGGGTCACTTTAAGCAGCTCTTTATCATGGTCGGTCACCTGGAGAAAACAGAAGAAATGGGCAATTTATAGCAGTCTATTTCACAGTAGATTGTTGAAAAGCAGTCCAAGGCTACCATGTATTCTAGACTAACGCTGTCATAACTACAGTCTGCATTATATACTGCCTCCCAGATTAATAACGAATGTTAAATTTTCAACCCACTTCAATAAAGGGAACTGTCCCAGGTCCCAGCCTTCGGTGTGCTGAGCTGCGTCAGCACACAGTTTGGCAACACAGTGACCACAACTGCACTCGGAACAGCAGCAGGGCTTAAGTTTGGTGCTGAGTTACTAAAAGAACAAGTCAGTGGGTGACACAGAGGTAAAAGCACCAGTGAAGTAAACTGCAGATAAGACTTTTGAGTAGACAGCACTGGGATGTTCAGCTTCTCTTTCTGAAACATTTCTACTATTTCTACTGACCATGAAAGTCATACCCCTGAACTTGTTTGCAACCACAGCTCAGCTCCTTACATGGTATAAGTCCTTGGAGCTACTAGGCTTCTGGAAAACCACCCCTTTTTCTTGTAGCATCCTTATTGCTTCCTTAAAAACACTGTGAATCCTTTTGGAACTGGAGTCATTTTTTGACTTAACCTGGATGGGAAAAAAAAGGAATAAAGCAGATGGTAAGAAATCTCAGCTCAACTAAAGTTACCAGCAAAAGCTCCATATGCTTTTAAGATCAAGAGGACTTCAGGTGATTTTGTTACACATTTTTCTTCATTTAGTAATTCACAAGTCATATCTGTTATGTATGAACTAACCAATACACCAAAGCTTTAAAAAAACAATAACAAAACAAACAGCAGAAGCTTGTGCTGTTCTTGAGGAACCACAATCTCCTAACTGCCTGCTTTGGATGTAGCAGCTATTTGATTAGGTCCTGAGAACTCTCTTTTGAAATGGGCTTGTGATGCTCACAGAGCATTTGGCTGGTTAGCTAATCAAGTTTGCTTATATTCAGAGTTTTCCTGGTAATAAGGGTAGGAATACAGAGAGATCAGTGCTTTGAGGGGCAATATTCAGAAAAAAATCCAAGTGCTGGGGATTGGATTCCCATCTCCTGATTTGAAACTAAGGCAATGTCCAAGGAAAAGGAAGAAACTCTCAAGAACAGTATTTGCTTCTTGTCCTCTGAGTTTCCAAGTTTTTGCACACATTCTGGTCATGGTCTCAAGAGCTTCTCCACAGCCTAATGAAATGAAAAGATAAAGAGCAGGCTAGAAATTAAGACAGGTATATAAGATAAGGGAACAAAGGATTCAATTTTGAGGGCAGGTGGGAAAAAATCTCTTGTGAAAGGAGAACAATGTCCATATCTGAGGAGGTTATTTAGAACAAAGGGTTCTGGGAGACTCATCTAGCAGAGCAGGAAGGAAGGAAGGGGAGAAAAAAGATCAGGGAAAAGCAGGGTTTATTTGGAAGTACAGCAGAGCTAAGGCAGTGGAATGACAGCTAGGGAAGTGGAAGAAAATAAAGAATCAGTTGTGGAACAGAGAAAGTATGGGTGGATAAGTGCAAGACCATGACTTACTCTTCTCCATCTCTATCTGTCCTACTATGTCCTTCAACCTCCCATTTATCTACACAGACTGCTTCTAATCCCCAATTGCCGTTTCCTTATCTTTTGGGAGTGCACTGTGCTCCCCGTGGCTTGCTTTGGGAACAGAGCTAAACAGATTCCCACAAACCAACCTGTGATAACTAGAACCACACCGTGCAACCAAAGCAAGGTTTGCCAAGCCATTTCTTCAGCTATCACTGGAAATGCTCTCATCCTGTTCTGAACAGAAGTATCAGACTTCACATATCCTGCCTCACCCACCAGACTCACAGAAGCCTTGGGAGTGAACCAGGCAACCACCAGGTACCAGAAGGAGTTCACACGAGTATGTGAGACACCACATTAGCAATGCAAGAATATCTTTTCACAAAACATTCATTCGATCCTTTTGCAAGCCTCAAGTGAAATTCTGTCTGTTTCAAAGCCTGGAAGCCGATGTGCCTAATTGGGAATAGTTCAGAGATCCATTAGGGACGTTACGGTTAGCATACAGCACAAGTTTCTCCATCCCCTTTCTCTGGTTAATCCTCAAAATTTCAACAGACCATAATCACATCTCTCTCTCTCTGTCCAACAGCTAACTATCTTTTTCCTCTCAAATTGACAGTCAAAAAGAATTGCCTAATAGCTCAAGATAATTAATATAGAACAATGGTTATTATTCTCAGTTCAGTTTTCTCCTTCTGTTCCAGACTGAAGGACTTCAGTGCCCGGATGTTTTTCTCTCCCTCAGTCCACCACAGCTATAACAGTTTGGATAACAACAGACACTGCTTCTAACTACAAACTTGACCGTACATCTGGACACCATTCCAGTCACAGAGTTAATACTATCATGTTTCTCTTCATAGAGCCTCTTCTGATGAACTGAAGAAACAGGCATAAAATGTACCAGGAAGGGTTAAGTGAAGGATGAATTATTTTCTCGTGGAAAAGCACATTTTCATAGCCATATGTAAAATCAAGAGACTTTGCCTCTCACTCAAAGGCAGTAATAAATCCTCAAGAATCTAAGAAACTGCTAGCAAAGCAACCACCTCAAGACTCTGATCAATTTTTAATGTGAAAGCAAACATTTGGGGAGAAAAAAAAAAAGATAAAAATATCTCCAAAGAAGCACGATAATTATTCAGTTTGGCTTAACACTGAGATCCCGTCAGAAAAGGGAGATAATTAAAAACAGACTCTGTGTGAACTGACACACAGCTCAGGCTGGATGGATACTGAAACAGAATCACTAAGAATGCAAGGGATTTGACAGATCGAAGGCAGAGAGGCAGGCTTGGGAGCGAGAAAATAAGTAAGCAGCTGCTACATATCAGCACCCTCTCATCCGTGCTGCAGAGTTCAAGGGAAAGGGCTCCATGGCAGAAGGACTATGCCTGAAGAACAAATGAGGGCTCCTGCCCCCTTCAAAGGATTTAATATTATCCTGAAATGACATAAAAACTTTGGTTTTTTTTCATAGTGTGCTCTAGAACGTGCTTCCTCCTCCCCAGGCTTCCAAGTAAAACGCCTCAATTTTTGCTTCTTTGTGAACTTAATATAACATTATTTAATCTGTTTTTCACTGAATTTTCACTGAATTTCACTGAATTTCTAGAGTTGGAAGGGACCATAGAGATCATCTAGTCCAACTCCCCTGCTGAAGCAGGATTGCCCAGAGCTAGAGCATGTTACTCAGGAGCATCCAGGCGGGTTTTGAAGATCTCCAAGGAAGGGGACTCCACACCCTCCCTGGGCAGCCTGTTCCAGGGCTCTGTCACCCTCACCGTGAAGAAGTTTCTCCTCATATTTGAGTGGAATCTCCTATGTTCCAACTTGTGCCCGTTGCCCCTCGTCCTCTCGGTGGGAACCACTGAAAAGAGTCTGGCTCCCTCCTCCTTCAACCCTCCCTTGAGATACTTGTAGGCGTTGATAAGGTCTCCCCTCAGCCTTCTCTTCTCCAGACTAAAGAGTCCCAGCTCTCTCAGTCTCTCCTCATAAGGGAGATGCTCCAATCCTTGAATCATCTTTGTAGCCCTACGCTGGACTCTTTCCAGTAGTTCCCTGTCCCTCTTGAACTGGGGAGCCCAGAACTGGACACAGTACTCCAGTTGTGGCCTCACCAGTGCAGAGTAGAGGGGGAGAATGACTTCCCTTGACCTCTAAAGAGTCCCAGCTCTCTCAGTCTCTCCTCATAAGGGAGATGCTCCAATCCTTGAATCATCTTTGTAGCCCTACGCTGGACTCTTTCCAGTAGTTCCCTGTCCCTCTTGAACTGGGGAGCCCAGAACTGGACACAGTACTCCAGTTGTGGCCTCACCAGTGCAGAGTAGAAGGGGAGAATGACTTCCCTTGACCTGCTGGCTACACTCTTCCCTATACAACCCAAGATACCATTGGCCTTCCTGGCCGCAAGAGCACACTGTTTACTGTTCTTTTAGTCCACCCAAAATATCTCCAGCATCTCGTCCTACAAATTCATAACCCAATAGTACTTCTTCCCAATACCTTATCACTTTCTTTTATGCCAAACCAGGCCCCCATTTCATCTGGACACGGATCTCCCCTCAGAGCCAATGTGTGCCTCAGCTTGTGATTTAGTCTGCTGAGCAGAAACCTACAGGAGACTGAAACATGGCACTATACACAGAGAGAAGGAATCTAGGACTATGAAATCCTACGTGATTTCACATCCCTGCTTTTATTTCAGGTGAAGATTGAAAAATGCTTGCATTTCAACAGTTATAAAGATGTATTGTAGTGGTTAACATAGATCCTTCCGAGTCATAGATCCTTATTAGCCATCACTTTACTTTTACAACACTTTTCATCCAAGAAATGCAAATATTAAGTAGATTAACTGCTGATGCAGAGCATCAGCAAGATTTGAATCTGGATTTTGAATTTAGCCCTCACAATGTTCACACCTTTTTTGCAAAGTGCCCCCCTTCGGCATGCCTGAGTTTCAGGGTACACAATTTCAGATTCCCTGAAGTGCTGACAGCAGGGGTTCCCCCCCTTTTCCCAAACCAGGTCCTTTTCAAATAAATTAAGCTGTACATCCAAACACAGGAGCATCCAAAAATCATTCAGCACTACTGCAAAACATGTTGTCCCCATCACCACTGCCCAAGAGAGAAGCAACCGTTAAATAACAATTTTACCATCACTACCCTCCCTCCAAAAACCACCCAAGGATTCTGTAGCAAAGCCAACAGAAGACTCTATGTGTCCAGAATTAAGCTGGTATTTTAATCAATATATTCCTATCTGATGGGTCTCACAGAGCTTAGTGGGCTGGTGTTGTGCAACCAGTTACTCTCAGATCTTTAAAACAAGGCAAACTTTCTGTACAATCAATAATAGGCCAAAGAATGGAGTGGTACAGGAATTAGTCAGTCTGTTCAGAACACTGAAAGTATGTAACCTTTGGCTCATTATGAATCACAGCACACCCTGATGGTGTTAAAGTTTCCTGGTATAACCACACACGTGATTCTACTCATGGAATTGCCCTTTGCAGTTTCTCATGCAATGTTTAATCCTTGGCTTAGACAGGTGACAATTTTAGTAATAGTGATTCTGGACGTGTCAGTCCTGAAGTCCTATAATAAGCTTTGCAATATACATATTTAAAGTAGCAGTGAAGCTTCCTCAAGAGGCAGGAAGACAAGCACGTAGCATCAAGAAGATATAATGCACTCTGTTATACCTACAGTACAACATACAGGTAAGTATGAACAGCACCGTAAAACTCCCTGCTCCCTATAAAACTCCTACTTGTCACTGCTGACCTTGAGATAATATTCAAATCAAGAGACGTACAAACAGCAGAGTCTGGAAAGCACAACCCAAGTTATCTGTCCAGGCGAGTGACACACACAAACTGGAATGGTCATACTAAAATAGCACACACTAGTGCTTATGCATGGAAGAAATGCATAAAAATGGTTACTCAAGACGGGCTGGTTGCAAGTCGCATTTAATCCAGTCGAGAAACTGGATGGATCAAGTTCACGTGTAGTTTTCTCAAAAAAAAAGGAACCAAAGTCTTGTCCATTTGCCAAACATAATTGCCTAAGCCCAGCAAGCACACTCTTTAGGTTATCTAAGCACAAGATTACTTTTTCTGGGTTTTTTTGCCTGTTGTATTCCTTGTGGCACCCACCCCTCCAGTCTCAAAAGTAATTTCTTTAAAGGGATAAGGAAAAGGCAACAGCTTCGGGATAGACAGGGCAGTGGTTATGTGAAATAAAGCTCCACATATCCATATGACAGATTTGTTAATTTTTAATTATTTTTTAACACACCAACCCTTCCAATTCTCTTACCCATCCTCTGTAGACTATAACATTAAATGTTCCCTAGCATATGTCTGAGCAGAGGATATAATTTGAGTTCTGCCACGTACATCTGCTGGAGGGAAATTCATTCTGGAGAACCAGAAGACTGCAGTGCTGGGAAGCCATTAGGACTGGAACTAGGTATTGTAGGACACGTATGGGATGTGGACAGGGGTTGGGTACAGTAATGCAGAAAAGGAAGAGAGAGCTGCTGCCTACCTCAAGCTATCCCAGCTACCTCCTTCCATCTTCACCCCCTGCTCCGCTCCACTGCCAGTGACTCCATAGCAGCTCACCACCTCCCTGGAGCAAATATTTCATGGGGAGATGCCCTCCCACTATGATGAACACTGCACAAGTACTTTAAAAGTTGGAAAAGAGAGGTGATGCACCTAGGATCACAAGGAAAGGAAGAGAGAGGCAAGAAAAGAGTTTAACAGCAACTGCACTCTAGAACACTGGAATCGGGGTTAAAAAAAAAAAAAAAGAGTTACACATCCAAATAACTCATCCTCTCACATCTAGGAAAATTGCAAGAAGTGAACAAGTGTGTATATTGTGGTGTGGCCTAATTAGTTTGGTTCACTCATCTTACCACTCAGCTCCTGCTTCGTCAAATAGGCATAAAATAACATCGTTCCAATTGGCAGCACCCTTTATCCTTTTGGTTTGAGGGTGATGCAAACCAGAAGACTACAGAGGGGAAAAGGAAGAGGGACAGAAATCAGATCTATTACACTTCTTTTTGGAGATCAAACTGGCTAATTGACCCTTTGCCAATCATGAGAAGCGACACCTTCAAGAGACAGAGCAGAGGAGCAATGAAATGCACTTCCAGAGCATTACCAGGTGCTCCTCTTAAGGCATCCAGGTCATTTGACAATTGCAGGTTTGTTTTATGCAAAGATATATAAGCCTCCTTGCAGGAATTAATACCAAAGGGCAATAGGGAGAACTGCAATTTCTAAATAAGTATCTGTGTGCCCAGATTCCTGGGACATATACTCACACCCTTGCATCAGGGTCAGGAGCAACCATTAATTACTCCGATAACTCCGCATGACTGCTAACGATGCTGATGCTACATTGCTTTTGTTGGTTTGGGTTTTTTGTACCTTTCTATGTTTGTTCTGCACCAGTTCCTACTTTAAATGGCTTTGCAAGTTATTCATCTTGATCTTTCTATAAATGTTGGAACTTCAAAGATGGAAGTTTCTAGCGTTAGTCTCAATGACCTCTTCTTCCTTTAATGCAAAATGTTTGGGAACTTTGAATAATGTTCCAGCTGGTTTAGAAAAAATACCCTGCTGTCCCATGTTGGATATTCTGGTCTCAAACTTTTCTGTCAAAAATGAGTGTAGCTCCTGTTATTGTTTCTATCCATGCTTGCTTTAAAGAAAATGACAAAAATGCCATTTATAAAAATAATTAGCTATCAAGAAGCAGCTATCAGCAGCAGTTCCACAAGAGGCTAACAAGAATAGAGCTCTTTTGCATTATTATTTGACCTCATTTACAAGGGACTGGGTTTTGTGTGGTTTTTTGGTGGTTTGGGTTTTTTTAAAGAATTAAACAAACATCAAATGTTAACATAACATAGCACTTAACTTTACAGTGCATATCAGAATCAGGCAGTGAAAATGACTGCCATAGATTTATTTCTCTACAGAAAACCCCGAAGTAAACAAGTGAGTCACACAACACTCCAGTTGAAGTTGCAGTTGCCCTTAGTAACATGGCAAAAGCCGTAACACTGTTACTTTTGCAGAAATTTACCACTTCACACAAGTTGAGAATCTGGGCTGTAATTCATCCAAACAACACAGAGTAATATAAAGCCATTTTATAAAATGTTTTTTGTTCTATTTCCCATTCTGCAGTCGATCAAGAGCATTCCATCTCACTGGAAAGTTTCTTAACACTTAGGTTACATGCAACTGCATGTGAACTGATTTCAATTAAATCCCACCTTCTGTTCCTTTCAGTTATGGCCTTTCCCAAGTAGGGATTTACAACAAGAGAAACATGTACCAGGGAGCACTGTTCATCCACTCATCATAATCTCCTTTTGACAGCTACATCTCTATTAATATATTGAGCTTCAAATAAGAAACAATACAAAGACTTTGACCTACCTTCTCCTGATCAAATTCAGGATCTCAGACATCTGTCCCAAACAGCTCAAGCACCTTAAAGGGATCTCCTCTGCTGATACTGCCACTATTTACTGATCTAGGTAAGTTAGTACCTCTTGCAGACCGTAAGGTTACTCACCCCTAATACATAATTACCCTTAACAACAGAATTTTCTCATATTTCTTTCTTCAGTCCAGTTTTATATGTCTCAAGTGACAAGGTTTCCTGAAGCTCTGTAAATAATTCATGCATAAAGCTAAAGCACTCGGCGATTTCTGAATCCTCTGAAGGCACCAGTCTCTTTACTGGTTGGTTATGCTTAAAAAAAAAGTACATAGTGTTATTTCCCCCCATTAAAATCTTGAAGCAGTTACAGTCACTCACCTCCTGAGCGCTGGGGGTGGGTAGGTGCACACCAGCCACTGACACCAGAGTATCAATTGCTTCCAGCTCCTGTTGGTAAAAGGTCTGGATTTTGTTTTCTAAGAGAAAGCTTTTCACTTTCTCATGCAGCACATTGATTGAGAAATTCTCACCCTCCAGGGCACTACAAGGAACACAGAACACATCAAAAGGCAAGAAATATACTTTTTTAGCACAATTACTGAAAGTTAGCCTGGTAGACTGGTTTTCAAAGGTCAAAAGGTACTTTACTGTCCTTAAAGAATCTGAATTTAAACCTGAATTAAAACAGACTATTTTTATATGCAATAAACATCCAACTGTTCCTCTTCAATTGCTTGCTGTAACAGTGCTGTGATTTTAAGACCTGCAATCTCTAAAACCACACTACATACATCAGACCTGCCAATAAGCATCCAGCTACCTTTAAACTGAACAAAGGAACGGGTCTTTGACTCAGTTTATTGAAGTATTATATTTGTGATTTGATTTGACAACGACATGGGCAGCAGAAGTTGCAGGCATTTTGGGCAGGAGAAATTGAGAGCATTTCAATAGAACAGCTCCTTATCCTTACACATAAAATAAAATCAGGAGAGGATACTCCTGCATCTAATCTCTCACCCCAAAATCTTGCTCCAAACCTCATCTTTCTTTACTAGATGAAGAGGTCTGTACACAGTATTTTACTACCCTCCTAATATTCACTTTGGTTCAGCATTATATTTCTTGTCTCATATTATGAACCGGTATCTTGTCTGTATGGATCATTATTTGGGAGAGCAGCAGGCTGCTACTGTGCAGTTGTGCAGAGTCTGACTCACAGTTATTACAATAACAAATAAACAATAATGAAATCCCACACTTTGCCCCAAGACCAGTCTGGATACTGCATTTACCTCTGTCCCTCCTCGGGGCCTTGGAAAGGTTTATCATAAACTTCTCTATAGAGACAGGGGAGCTCCAGCATTCTTGAAATTTGAACATCACACACTGGATCATCCACTTTATCTAGAGCAGCAAAAAGAACACACATACTTGGCTGAAACCACCACACCAATCTTTTAAGTGAGCATACCTGAGGGAGCACAACAGAGCTTTACATGCCAGTATTAAAGTGGCAAATTTTGTTTGCTGTTGTTTTTATAAAACCAAAACCACAAAGGCCGCTCCCGCTTTTACAGTTTACAAGGAGGTAAATGACCTGTTGTGGTGCATTGCAGATTATGCTTTTATCTGACAACTTATTTAACCAGAATTTATGATCTATTTTACCTTTCAGCAGTCTTTGCCAATTAGAGGAAGTTAATGCATAGTAGGGAGCTTTATTTGGGCCAAAGTGAAAGCAATTTAGAGGCTATTTGAATAGCGTGGCTCTCCTTTAATGAAACAATGGTATTATTAACAGTCCTTGAATGGCTAATATATTCATAAATCTCCTGTCTGGAAAGGAGGGTTGAATTCCCTCTCAGTTTTTAGCTAGAGCTGAAAAATCTACAGACTTCTTGTCTGAGCTACACAGGGCTTTTAAAAGGCAGGCTTCCCTCCACTGAAGGAATCATTTCAGTATTGTCTCTGAGAGATTTCACTGGGGAAAACCAACTCTTACACAATAGCACAGACACAGAGGAGAGAAGTCTTTCCATAACTGGAAGCTCCCCAGCTGTAAACAGCAGACTGCAGAACCCTGCTGCCAAAGAGCTGTCAGACACGGGGCCGGCACCTGCACATCTGTGCCAGAGTGACTGAAGAGGAGGAAGAACACTTCTCAGTCATTCTGCAGAGTCAGAGAGTTAAGAAGAGCCTGGGTTTTGGTGGTACAATGTGCCCATAGGCTGCTGTCTGCCCATGGAATGGATTATACAGGCTGAGAAAAACACCAACTGTTTCTCCGAAGCAGCTAACGCTCTTGATGAAGAGTGGCATAAAAAGGTCACCAACTCCATTCCCATGGGCTTTGGTTGTTCTACTCCAACACAAAGAAAACTGAAGAGCAACTCACTCTCGCAGACACCCAGTCACTGTATCTTGTATGCAGGCTCGTTGTCTTTTATAGATTTCCCAGGAATGCCTCATTTTTGCAGGCAATCTAATCCCACACATTAACCTCACACAGCTAAAATCAAAATAAAGGCATACAGGCTAAAATCTCTTTAGAAAACTGAGATGCCAGAAAATGAAGTGGAAATTACTCAATGAATTACATACAGCTTAGATCTTTGCACAAATTCAGACAAGTAAGTTACACAGGTCACAGACCCATAACACTCACAGAAACATGAAGCCTGAATTTCTCTTTGTTGCCTGTAGGTTCGGATGTGACCTCTGACCCTGACAACGTCCCCGATCTCCAGCTTGGTTTTCTGGCTCACCATTTCTTGGAGTTTCTTCATCTGCTCAAGCACAGTGAGGCTGCTGGGTGTGCTTGGACGACCTGTAAGAAGTCAGGGAAAGGAGATGCAGTATTAAGGCCAAGAGGACTGTCCCTTTGCATTCATCCAAACACCTAAGCACCACAGGAGTCATATTACTGGAAAAGGGGTTAGGTCCCAGGAACCACGTGCCCTGGGTGGCAAAACTTCTGGGTGACAAAGTTAGTTTACAGTATTATATTTAAATAGTTCACCTGGGGAAAGAATAAGAGAGAGGAGATACTGATTTACCACCGAAAGTGTCATAGATGGGTTGCAAAATTGGAACGTTATTTGAAATGGGTTCTGCCATTTTTTGATTTTGTTATGCTACGAGGGATGATAAGGGAAAAGAAAGATCAGATGAACTTTCTACATAAAAGAAGAATGAGTCATCTGAGGTGGGGCCAAATTATTTATGTGATGCAATTTGATGTCTACGCTGAAGTGAATGCAACTTGACAGAACCTCACATTTACGTAACACATCTTTGCAGCAGAGTAAATTCTTCCTAACTTAAAACCTGATTAATGATCCAAGTATCCCTGATCACAATTACAAAAGGCTGGAAGAAAGTTTCCTGTGCCCCTTAGGAGCTGTTTTCTTTAGCAGGTACAAATGAATTAATCACAGAATCACAGAATAGTAGGGTTTGGAAGAGACCTCTGGAGATCAGCTAGTCCAACCCCCCTGCCTAAGTAGGTGAATTAATTTCCATTAATAACAGTGTCCATTCAAGCACTACTGATGTACAAGTAAAATAAGAACATAAGGCTGAAACAAGCATTCTGGGTCCTCATTTTGGTTCAAGCAGTATTTCATGCAATTCCTTTGATGAATTTAAGTTCCTGATTTGATCGTGGGTCCCCATTATTACTTCTGAAAGCTGTGCCACACCATCACATTTCTGAAAGTGAGAGTTGTCTCCTTGATTCCAGTTTGGAACATTGTTAAACATAAGTATGAATTATCTGTCTGCATAAATGGGCTTGTTCCACAGACATCAGACTTTTTAATTTTTACAACAAGCTTTCCTTTCCCAATACCTGACACTGGCAGATGACACTAGTAACATTTATTTCTGCAGGATTTCACCAGCTTCATATCAGGGTTGTCAATCTACTACATGCATTTTCAAAAAGGGCCAAAGTAAAAAGTATTCCACACTTTGATCTATGAGAAACAGTGGGAGAAAAATAAAAAAAAGCCAGACACTAGGAAGTTCTTCTGCTATTAAATGCAATAACAGATTCATTTCAAATGCACAATTTCTGTACATTTAGAACTTTCCCAAATTGTAAAGGACTGCTGGCATCCCCCCACTGTCTTTTAAGCTACCTTCAGGTTCATTGACAGTATATGCACGAGGAGGAGACCATGAATGCAAACAAAGGAGAGAAGGTGAATCCTGAAACCACTGTATCACAAGGGTGATGAGTGTACAACAGGTTGCTGGTCAATGGATTGACTTTGGAAACAGCAGCTGTGACATGTGGCACATTTCCAGCCTAGTTCCTCACTGGATGAAGTCACAGAAAGAACCATAAGAAGAGGATTCTCTGAGCAACATCACAGCACAGAACTGAAATACCATATTACTCAGATAAGGAAAAGGCATAACAGGTCATAATGTAGTGGTTTTATCAGCAACACCAATGGACACAACACAAAAAGTAATATGAAACTCCAAAAATGGCCCCTGCTGTAGGATGTAATGGCTTAAAGTAAAATAAATTTCAAAAAAGTTGAATTTGCTTTTCTGCAAGTTTGATCATTTGCTAGATTACATAAGACAGACATGAGTAAGAGTGTCTAGTCAAAAGAGAAATTATTTATTTGATAAATTACCTGATAAAGATGTTTCTGCTACCATTGGATTTTTCCAGCAGACACAATTTATAACTCCAGTGCTATCATCCACTGTAAAAAAAATTGCAAGAATGACAGAGTAAGAAAGCAAGTAGTGATGTTCCAAGAAGTGAAGATATATAGATACCTAGGGAGATGACTGCAGAGGATAGCTTGTTTCAACCAGTCTGAAAGGTGAAGTGTGTGCTCAACCCCTACTAATACCTCTGAATTAATTTCAGAGTTATTTCAGTCGTGGAAGTAACCCAGAAACAGATACCATGCTTATATGCATAGTCAGCAAAATAACAGGTATATTCTCAAAAAAAGATCAAGCACTAATTTAAATTATGAGGCTTCAGTACATGCTTGATACTAAAGGGTTTTAATCTCATTGCCAAGGTCAGAAGAAGAGTCAGTGTTGAAAGCTAAAGACAGACATATTAAAATAGGAAACCAGGCACAAAACACAGAAGCATTACTGTAACAGTGAGAAAATAGCACTTCAGCACTGGGAGGCACAGCCATGTGAAGAGACCAGGAGTGCTCCTACTTCCAGCTGCATTGATTTCCATGCTAATAATTGCACACCAAGTCTGCTGGCCTTTCCCGTACAAGAGGATGTTTGAGAGAGCAGAAAGGCAGCTCCTCTAGCCAGGAAGGCCAGAGGACAGCACATGCTTGTGGTTCTGCTCTAGGCCAGGAATTCCCAATTTAAAATATAAGTACCGGTGGCACGAAAGCCACTTCCGCTGCCAAAAAAGCTTAACACCTTCTCCTGAGCACAGGACCTGTCTAGCTTTTCCTGTTTTGTTAGAATCTAATCAAAATGAGTTTTGCAATTTCTGCCCTAGGCACTATATTGTCAAGGACAGCAGAAAAAGACAAAACCCAAGAAAAACAAACAAAAAAAACCCCAAACAAACCTATCAGAAGAATCTATTGTTCTACAGAACAAGAGACTGTATATAGATGGCACCTCCAACAAACACTCTCTAAATCAAAAGGCACAAGATGCCTGTCAAAGCACAGCAAGGATCACATTTCCAGTCCAGCTAACACTTCGATCGCCTTGGTTCCTTGAATGCTGCCATCTCCAAGACTGAGCTTCCTGACTTCACAAACTGGAATCTGCAATTTTCTTTTGTTCCTTAAACTAGATCCATGACTACAGAAGTAACAGCAATGTTTACCAGGAAAGTACTGATTGGTACCTGCAGTCGCTTCCTCTGGGAACCATAGCATCAAAGCAAAATGCCTTTGCATTGTCTCACATGTTTTGAAACAGTCTCCCTATTTGGGGGGTCCAATTTCAAATCATTGTCTTGCCTTCCTGTTTCCCAGTGGCTTTAGCTGCACGTTCCTAACAACAAATAGACAGCGTTTATAAGATGCAGGCAATTCCAAATTCCATCACAGAAACGTGCTCATCTCATTGCTATCCCCTTTTTGAGCTGCTGTGTTTGCAGCTATTTCAGCAGCTTTAATTTTGTACCAGAGCACAGATCTAGCTGGTGGGATTTTCTCTCCTTGGTACAGACAAAACCCAACTATTTCAGTAGGGGTCAGAGTCCCCATATGCCCTTCCAAGCCACTCATGCAAGCCAGCAATGGCAGGAAGAAAAAGGGTAGATGACATTTCACTATTACATTACTGCAGCTTCGAGATATTCCAGCTTGCAACTGGCTGTTGCACCAGCTGCACCAGATACACTTCCTAAGAGGGGCTCAGAAGCAAAACAAACAAGACTGAAGGATTAGGAGGCCAGACTCCTCCTCATCAATGCAACAGCTGAAAACAGAGACCTGGAGAGATTGACCTGTTCTTGACCATGTCAGGAAGCCGGTAGCAGAGCAAGGCTCACAGCTCACAAATAAAAGCTTTGAGCAAAAAGACAAATAACTCCTGAAGCACAGATAAAGGAGAACTCTTGCAATTGTATTCTAATTAGACAGGAGAATGTTAATCTATTTTAAATGCACTCAAGGGGTCTACAAGCTTTTGAAAACTTCCTGTGCTCTCTGTGCCGCCCTTCCTCATCTTCTTGGGTTGAAACTTTTGTTTGTTTGGGGGTTTTGTGGGTTTGGTTTTATTTTTTCTGCTTTGTTTTGTTTATTTGGGTTTGGTTTTTGTTTTGGTATTTTTTTGACTCTTACATTAACCATTTGATGGGTTGCACTGACAAAGCTACCTGGCTAAATGAGGTAATTATGGTAATTTTTATTTCTTAATCACAAAAAGGGCATGGTTCTTGTAGGCCTGTGTGAGATCCTGGTGAGATTTTTCTCATTTGTTTTTAAGACAAGTGCCTTTCAGCCTTTCCAAACAATTCTGGAGTATAAGGAAAACCACGTGATGTTTGGTTTTGTTAAAAAGGAAAGAAAAAAAAGTTTAGAACAGTGTATTAGCTAAAACGTGAGCTTGCTCAAAACTACACTTTAATTAGAAATCCTTCCCCAAATTGATCATAATAATAGCAATAAACAATGAAATCAAAATGGCAAAAATCAGGCTTTACGCAGCATGTAATTTAATATTTTTTTCTTTTACAATTATTATTTTGTCACCAGTTCTGGCTGAATGGTTTTCAGCACAGAGAGGACCTAAGATTCTCTTAAAACGAGCGGGGTGTATTCTGAAGTAGGCAGATAGGAAATGGGGGGGGGGGGGGGGGACGGGGGGAGGGAAAAAAAAAATTTTCGTTTTTCGGTGCCCTCGTGGCTGCGGGTTGGGCTCTACAGGAACGAGCCACAAA